TCAATACTCTTCTCCAGCACTACAGCTCAAAGGCATCAATTCTCCTTCTATCCTCCCTAGTCACTGTCCAACTCTGATGCATAACAAGTGATTGCAAAAACCATGGCCTGTACCAGACGTACCTTAGTCTCCAGAGACACATCATTGCTCTTCAGTACTTTAGAGAGGTCCCTAACAGTAGACATTCCCATCACAATACTTTTTTTAATTTCCTGACTGCTGGTGCCACGAGTGTTGACCGTGGAGCCAGGCAAACAAAAGTTATTAACAATCTCAATCTCTTCACCATCCATCCTGATGCTGCCAATTGGTCCAGTGGTAAGAATCTTTGTCTTCTTGATACAATCCGTTCTGAAGGCTGTGTTCCTTGACCCACTGCAGCAAGTGCATCAGGTCCTCCTCAGTTTCAGCAAGCAGGGTTGTATCATCAGCATAACGCAGATTGTTAATAGATCGTCCACCAATCCTGACACCACACTTCTCTTCATAGAGCCCAGTCTCTCAGATAATCTGTCTGCATACAGTTTGAAAAGGTATGGAGATAGGACACATCCCTGGCGTATGCCTTTCCCAGTTTTGAACCACAGTGTTTCCTTGCTCTACTCTGACGACTGCCTCTTGTCCAAGTATAGGTTTCGCATTAGCACGATTAAATGTTCTGGGATTCCCATTCTTCTCATAGCCAGCCACAGTTTGTTATGATCCACACAGTCAAACACCTTTGCATAATCAATGAAACACAGATATACATTCTTCTGGTATTCCCTGTTTTCAGCTAAGATCCATCTAACATCAGCTACAATATCCCTATTACCACAACCCCTTCTAAACCCAGTCTGAACTTCTGGTAGTTCTTTGCTGATGTGCTGTTGCAGTTGTTTTTGGATAATCTTCAGTGGAATCTTGCTTGCATGTAAAATCAATGATATTGTTCTATAGTTTCCACACTCTGTTGGGTCACCCTTCCTTGAAATGGGAACAAATATACATCTCTTCCAGTCAGTAGGCCAAGTGGTTCTTCTCCAGATTTCTTGGCACAACTTGGTGAGCATGTCCAGGGCAGCAGTTGTTAGCTGAAATATGTCATTTGGTATACCATCTATTCTTGGAACCTTGTTTTTTGCTATTTCCTTCAAAGCAGATTTGATGTCTCAAATGGATGTCTGAAGAAACTCTGAAGATTGCACTGGAACGCAGAGAAGCCAGAGCTCAAGGAAGAATTCAAGATACTAAAGAGCTGAACAGAAGATTCCAAAAGGCAGCACGGGATGACAAAAATACTACAATGAAATGTGCAAGGAGCTGCAGGCGGAAAATCAAAAGGGCCGAACTCGTTCAGCATTTCTTAAGCTCAAGGAACTGAAGAACAAATTCAAACCTCGAGTTGCTATAATCAAGGATGATTTAGGCTGATTATTAAATGATCCAGGAAGTATTAAAAGAAGATGGAAAGAATATACTGAGTCACTGTAATCGAAAGGAATTAGCAGACACAGAAGAATTTAATGAAATAACATATGAGCAAGAGCCTGTGGTGATGAAGGAACAAGTTCAAGCTGCTTTGAGGGAAATAGCAAAAAACAAGGCCCCCGGAATAGATGATATACCTTTGAAGTAAAAGGAGATTTTATTTGTAGTAAACAGAAAAAGCATATATTTCACTCAGTTCAAAAGGAGAAGTACCGCATAATACCACTATTGTGAAAATAGGAGGATAACTTGAACATAATAATATAAATGTTCAAAAGGGGAAGGAGGGACAGGACCAGCGAGAGCACTAGGATATCAGAGCTTAGTGGGTCGATGGTAGAGTGAAAGAATAGGAGTAATGCAACAAAGGCCTGAAGAGACAGGGTGATAAAAGGCATGGATCAATGATAATAAGTACACAAAGCACTGTGTAAGGGATTGGGCAAAACACAGTATACATGAATGAAACCTAATGTAAATTGATGATGGTGTAAAGTACAGTGTACATGAATGAAATGTATTTAATATATGAGTGAATGTATGCAGTCCAGTAAAACATGTACATATTATCCAGGAGCCAGCCAGCTTGCTATTTGACTTTATATTAAATTGGTGATACCTAACCTATCAAGTTACTAATTGAAAGGTCGGTGGTTTGAATCCAGATTTTGCTCTGCAAGTGTTAAGGAGTTGGATTGCCAACTCAGAGCTGCGTAGTTTGAATCTACCAGTGGCTCTGTGGGTGAAAGGAGAGCAGTATCCTCCCATGTGATTTTCTGCCTCTGCAAACCCACTGCAGGGTCAGATATGGATCTTCTCTACTCAGTGGTACATGACAAGTTGCTCTACAGGGAAAAAAGTAGATTGTTCCTCCAGTAAAGAGCTACAATCTCAGAAACTGGATAGAAAGGCTCTCGGTCAGTCTGCTTGAAAGCAGTAAATTTGGTATGTAGGAATCAAGGAAACTTGGGGGCACAGTGGCTAGGGTTCCCAGCTAGTGACTAGAAGGGCAATGATTCGAAACTGTTAGTCACTCCATGCGAGAAAAACGTGGCACTCTGCTTCCAGTAAAGACTAACAGCTTTGGAAAGACTGTGGGAGATGCTACTCTATCTCTTCTGCCAGGACATTATGAGTTAGAATCAGCTTTCTGAAGTAGGTTTAGTAATCCTTGGTTGACAGTCTGGGGTGTATATGTTACATGTAAATTAATCTGCATAGTATATTTGCTAGGCATTTGTGTAGTGCTAATAGCAAGTGAGTGAATGCTATAAAGAAGTTTATCAGCATGCCAAACTTACTGTTCCATGGATGCTAAAATTAATGTTAACCCTTTGATAGGTGTTTTAGGACCATTAGGTCTGATCACAGTGATTTCTTGTCATTGAATTATTTAAAACTACAGTGAAGAGGGAATGACTTTTGGTAGGTGATGGGGGAAAGGATTAATTTTAAAAATGATCATAATCAAATGTATACCACATTAAATTGCATTTTTCCTTTCTGTGTTATGTGTCGAGCTTTTAGCTAAAGGTCCACACTTCAAATCTGTGAAGCAAGAGAAAGATAAGACAGTTTCAGAAACGCAATTGAGGGACACTTATTGTTAGAATGACTGTATAACAGTGGGATTTTTAAGCAGTGTTTAATTTTGCTTGAGCCCTTTCCACTCAGTAAGCACAATTTGGGAGAATCTCTTTATCTAGTTATAGCATAATCGTTGTTCTTGCTAATATGGTTTTACAATTGTGGGGAAGATTATGTTAATTTAGATTCTTAGTAACTACTTATGAAAACCCCCCACCACTTTGACTTGAGCGTAGACCTTTCATTTGCAAATTTAGAGAAACATTTCTGATAGCCTTTAGTTTCTATAAAAGTAAATGTAATGAGCAAAATTGACGCATGCTTCTGAAAAATACTCTTTTCAGGGTTAATTTTTTAAAATATTTTTTTCATTCATTTTAATGAACATTTACAGAGATTTTGGATTTCCAGTCATTCATTGTTGCACTTTTCTCCCTGCCCACCTCTCCCCTTCAGTTTGCTCCTCTCTTTGGAAAGAAAAAAGGAAAAAATCCTTCATTGGTATACAATCCCCCCCATCCCTCCCACCCCTCCACCCCGAGTACACTTCACTATGCAAACTTAATTCTGGACTCCTGTGATAACCATAATACCCAATCATATATCATCAGGGCTAATTTGACATGCCTTCCAGACCTTAAAAAGGTGCTCAGGTGGCCTCATGGGTAAGGAGTAAACGCTAACCAAAAGGCAGACAGTTGACATTCTTTAGTTGTTCCATAGTAGAAAGTTAGGCCTAGAAAAAGGCAATAGCGTGAACATGTCTATTCTTATATATGAATAGTTTGAGATATTTTTTTCTGGAAAATTTACAGAATGATAAGCAGGAGAGAGTTTAGCTTAAGGAGTTATCTGGCCCACCTAAGGCTCACCTCTCAAGTCTGACATATATATACACATTTTCATAATATCCATCTGCCCTTTATCAGTATAGGATGTTGACACTATTTTAGTGGTTGGAATGATTTTGGTTAATTTTTCTGTTTATTGGGAAAAGGAGTTTTAATGGTTTTCTTGGTTCCAGCATTTACTGACAATTTAGCCCATGTTGTTGGAGCCATCAAGTCAGTTCTAACTCCTATTAGCTGTATTGCGCAATAGGATCACACCATTCCCAGTCCTATGCCATGCTCACCGTGACGGTTGTGCTTAAGCCATTGCTGCAGTCACTGACTTCACCATAATTTAGTTAGCTCGTAGTTACTAAAACTTGTAAGTTACAGGTGCTCTGTTTTGATAGAGAAGAAAATAGAAGATAGGCTTTCATTGACAATCGCTTATTTTCTTCCACTATTGAGAATTAAATGACTTAGTAACAGTACCTCCAAAATTCTTTTTCTCTGCATAAATTCTGCATTTTTAAGAGTAGCTGATGCAGAGGTAATAAAGTATACTCAACATTATATTTTCTAATGATGCCACTTACAATAGGTGTCCCTCCATCAATTAGTATTCATTTCTCCAGCACTCAAAGGAGATAGGGAGAAATTGGAATTCTATGTAACCTCATCTCAGTTTTTAAGTACATTTTTCTTGTAAAATATTTATGGAATTATTTGCAAATAGAAGCTTTAACAGATTTTCTTCATTCTTAAGACTTTTCTTATTTATCCAGTATACTGAAAGAATCCTAAAAGTGAGAAAGTATGAATAAATAAAGTAAGTATCAGTGACTGAAGTAATGGAGGTAGGTGTGCCAGAGACAATGAGTTTGGCTCAGGACAGATCAGGGGTCAGAGCTGTTGTACATAGGGATTTCTATGAGTTACAAGTGACTCAGCGGCACAGAACAATAACATCTGTGAACTTCTATTCCTTTATTTTTCTTCCCCTTGAGGAGCTAGAAATTTACTGAGATTATTAGAAGAGTGGTGTAATTTTGGTTATAATACCTGGTAATTGACTTATTTTGTGAGGATTAATGAACTGTTAAAATTTCACAGGTCTCATCACGACTACATCAAGAAAACTAGACCGAGAACAGCAAGATGAACACATTTTAGAAGTAAGTGCTTATCTTTTAATTTGATTTTAATTTAATTTTAATATGAACTTTGTTCATATTGACTAATATTGACAACTGTTATTATTTTGTTATATTGGCTTATGATTGTTAATAAAGAATATATTATGAATATGGATAGCTCAGGTTCTTTGTGTTCCCTTTCCTTCCTAGAATACATAATCACTATTGTTAGCTCTATTCTTATTTTTATACTTTAAATGAATACACATATATACACTTCAAGCACAGTGTAAACAGTATTATTTGAGGTTGACTTTTATATACAAGGTGAAACTTTTCTTGATTTTTTTTTTTTGCATATTTCTTTTTTCTTATTATAAGGTATTTGAAATATATGTTGGTATTAGATCTTGTGTTTTGGCATTTTTTGGAGGGGGCTTGTAAGTACTCACAGTATTGTTCTTGTTTTTATACAGAATTATATAAAGTTCGTGCTTTTGAAAAATTTGACATAGAATTTGGTCAAAATCAACATATGCTTCTTCAAAATCTTATTTTAGGGCTAATTTAATATACCTTCTAGTCCTTAAAAGGGTGCTCTGGTGGCCTCGAGGGTAAGAAGTTACCTGAGTGGGCATGGAGGTGCCAGGCCAGAGGTAGACAGTTCACATCTATTATTGGCACCACAGCAGACCATTGAGCAGTCTTTTCATATACAGTTTATAGGCTCTGAAAAAATTTTTGGTTGGTCAGTTATGAGTAGGTTCCAACTCTATTGCAATGAGATGAGTCCTTGACTAACAGTTTTTTTAAAAAAATTATTGGCTGCAGCTTTCTTTGCCCTTGCCGAGCTCCATGAATCTCTTGTTCATAAATGCAGGAGAGGATGCGTTACATCTTCATTGAGACTTTGTCAGAATGAGAGGAGACAAGTGCTTTGTAAACTAGAGAGGTGTACACACATCCTGACTATCACTGGGAAGGTTTTTACTTTTTATGTAGCACATTGGGAAAAAAAAAAACAAAAACAACACCATTTACTGATCTGTTAACTCCCCAAACAGGTAACTGTGACAGACAACGGCAATCCCTCCAAATCAACAATTGCAAGAGTAATTGTAAAAATCCTTGATGAAAATGACAACAAACCCCAGTTCCTGCAAAAATTCTACAAAATTGGACTCCCAGAACGGGAAAAACCAGAACGAGAAAGAAATGCCAAGCGGGAGCCAATATATCGAGTTATAGCCACTGACAAAGATGAAGGTCCCAATGCAGAAATCTCCTACAGCATCGAAGAGGGAAATGAGCATGGCAAATTTTTTATTGAGCCAAAAACTGGACTAGTTTCATCCAAGAAGTTTTCTGGAGCTGGAGAATATGATATTCTTACAGTGAGCTTGATCTTTTTCTTTAAATTCCATTTATATGCTTTGACTTTATAAATGTATAAGAACTATAAATTACTTTATAAGAAATATAAAAACTTAAAAAATATCTTCATCCTTTGTGACCAAATAATTAAGACAGTGATTGATAGTGTTTTAGAAGAACAGTTTGGTTTTTCCTTTCCGTTAGATCTTTTTTATTGGTTATATTGCATATGGTCTTCAAGATTTTGCTGATTTTATCAAGCATTAAACACTGTGTATTTCACAAATGATAAATGTGAAATGGGTTCAATTTAAAACTGAATCAGAGTATACATTAATTACAGGATGTCACTTCTGGTTTATAATAGATTTAACTTTAAAATACCTTCTTTAAAAAAATACTTTCCTCTTGTATTCCCTCCCCCTCCTTCCATATTTTAAAGATTAAGGCAGTTGACAATGGTCGTCCTCAAAAGTCCTCAACCACTCGACTCCATATTGAATGGATCACAAAACCCAAACCCTCCTTGGAGCCAATTTCATTTGAAGAATCATTTTTTACCTTTACTGTAATGGAAAGTGATCCAGTTGCACACATGATTGGAGTAATATCTGTTGAGCCTCCTGGCACACCTCTTTGGTTTGACATCATTGGTAAGTATTTCTCGAAACTTTCATTCTCTCGCTATTCTTTTTAATATCAATCTCAGAATTTCAAAACCTGAGTATGACTTTTGGGTTAAAACTTTTATTTGAATTCATAATGAAACTTTTGACAATATACAACATAATAAATTTGTTTGAAATGAGTGTTATTTTATATCTAATGTATCATAAGAAAAATATTTTCTTTTGAAATATAGCAGGTATTTACAGAACATTAAACATTTCTAAAACAACAGCTTAATAATTTCATTTCTTAATGCATAACTTATGGTACAGTATTATTTTTAGTGAATATGATGAATATAAAAATTGCTCTGCTTGTGTGATTGTCATGTCAATATTTTGTAGAAAATAAGCTTGAAAATTTTTATTTCTATAACGTAAAAATTAGAGTACCCGCTATTTTATCTTAATCTGCCCTAGTTTCAGCAGAAAGTTGGATCCATTAGATTAAGTCTCACTGTAATAAAATTAACTTTTATTTTTGTTGTTTAGTTTACCTTATGCACACAAGAGAAAAGCCGTTTTAGATTTTTTTCCACTGTATTTTCATAATACTGTAATTGTTAGTGTGTTTAAAACTAAAGGTAAAGTTAGGTCTAGTTGGGACTCTATACACCTTTCTTTTCTACCCCTTAATCTAATCTATCTCCACCGTTTCAGCAGTTGGGACAAATGTGACATAAACTGCAATGACCACAAACTTTTAATTCTGGAATGCTAGATAATTCATTGCCATCAACTCAGTTCCAACTCATAGCACCCTTTTATTAGTTTTCTGAGGCTGTAAATATTTACAGGAGTATATGGTAATACCTTCCTTACACAGAGCAGTTGGTGGTGGGTTTCAACTGCTGACCTCTTATTAGGAGCCCAGCACTTAACCTGCTATGGAATAGGATTGGGAATTGGCCCAAATTGAGTCATTGTATGAAATTGTTGGCTTTCTAGTCACCATGAAATAGCTCTAAGACAGGAATGAGATTATTTGCATTGTTAGCTAAAATTAGTTTGTTTCTATTAACTTTTCTCACATTTCCGGGTTAACAAAACTTCTGTTCTTGTCTCTTATTTAACTGTTGCAACTTTTGTGTTGGGAACTGATTTGATTGACTGACCTTTGTTCTGTGCTTGCTTTCCATGCTTGCTTGCTTCTTTTTGGCTGTGCCAGGAGACGCACTTGCTAGAGAAGTGTTTTACATCTTTCAGATGGCTTGTGACCTGAACTGTACAGCAGAAGGTATCTGCTGAGATCACATAATTTGCTTTGAGATTATGAGATCTAAAATAAAAGCACTGATTTTCAGAACTTTTTCATTTTCAGTCACAATCTTGCATTGTTTGTTTTTTTCTTCCTTTTTCATAATGTGCACGTGGTCTCTCATTTCAGTGGCAAACCTGTTGACTTGCAATACGTACCTAGATTTTTAGTTGTAGGTTTGGTTTAAGACAGTGTTTATATTTGCATTTGGCTAGATTTAGTCGTAGATCTTCATCATGACATTAAGCCTTTGTTTTAATTCCACTTCATTTCATAGCTATAAGTATTTCAAATTCAGTGGATTTGTAATGCAGATTTTCTCAGCTCATGTACTAATGTTTGAATGATAAATAATGTAAAATATATTGGAGGTGCACTTAGATATTAGGAAGAAAGAAATGTTAATTTTTCTTTGGGTTTTGCTATTTTTATAGCAGTGGGAATATACTACTTTTTTAAATTGAATGTAATAGCCAGGACTAATTGAAGCTGCCTGTTTTGTTTTTCTTTTCCAGATTTAACATTTGTTTTTATTAGTTATTTTGTCAGTGCATTATCTTCAAAGTGTGACAAATGCTGTTTTGAGTAATTAAAACTTTTAAGTTCTTTATTAATTGATGTTTCAGTAAGGCTCTGAGCTATAAATGTGAAAGATATTTGAAACTCTTAAAAAGCAATTTGAAAGTAATTCACTAACTGTGTTAGAAATGACTTCCTATGTTTAGAGTTGCAGAATTGTTCTCTTCCTTTAATGGTAGATAGCTTCCTTGACACAATTATGGCTCAGAGCAGCCTTTTAGCATAATAGGCATTATCTTTCCGATAGACCATTCTTTTTTCAAAATATTAGGTCCTTAGAATTATCTTGTTAAGTGTACTAAAAACTATTTCACTGCCATTAAGTATCAGAATGCAACAAAATAGATGACAAATTTTGTACCTGTGACCTGCTCTTATTCTTCTGTTTCTCCCAATTTGAATTAGGTGGCAATTATGACAGTCACTTTGATGTAGACAAGGGAACTGGAACCATCATCATTGCCAGACCTCTTGATGCAGAACAAAAATCTAGCTATAACCTCACAGTGGAGGCTTCTGATGGCACCACAACAATACTTACTCAGGTAAGCAGACTATGTATGAGGTATTTGTCAGAGGAGGAATGAGAGTATTCTGAGTGAAGGTGCACCACTTGCAGTATAGTCTGAATGGGACCACAGACCATTAAAATAGGCTCTAAAATTAGTGGCTATAACATAAGCACTTGCACCCAAAATTTTCATTTTAATGAAAGAAAATTACTTCAAATCTTGATTCAGATTTTGCTTGTAGTTAATGAAACAGTTTGGACCAAAGACCTAACAATAGCATACACTCACTTAGCTGCAATATATCTAAATACTCTCATTTTGCACTCATTTTAAAATGTATTCATTGTAACAGTACTGCTCTTAAGAGTGGTTACCCAAGCTATTTTAATTAAAACTAGTTAAAAGGATTAACCTTTTAAATTGCTTTTTAAAACTTTGTTTCCCTTGGACTTCCTATCATTACTGCTAAAATGGTGGATAATTCCTTTAAAACCTTTATTTCTAATGCCTAAAAGATGACCAAATTGGAATGTCAAAAGTTTATATAAGTTTACTTTTCTCTTTTTTCTCAGGCTATATACCCTCCCAGATTTTGTTGTGGGCCATTTGAACTCTGCCAAGGAGCACTCTTGAAACAAAAGTCATTTTGGGATTTCGAAGGAGATAGAGACTTTTTCAGTCACTTATTTAATAAATACTTGTTTAGAACTTATTAGATCCTAAATATTGTTCTGAAAACTGAATAGCGGGGTTGGGGGGAAGCCTAATGACTTATGCAGAATTTGTTTTTAAATAAAATTACTTGCATTTATTTTTATTTTTTTGTCCATAATTGTGATAGTGTTTCTATTTTACTTTTGTTCTTCTTTCTCTGTAGTAATTATAAGTAAAATAACAATAGAAAGCTTACGTTCGCTTGTAATTCTCATTTAAGACTTTTGGTTGTGAGGTTGGTACAAGGTTGGCTGAAGTTTTCTTCTGTTGCGCATAGGGTCACTGTGAGGAGATAACAGCATCAACAATAATATTGGGGGGAGAAGGCTAATTTCAGGAATTCTTTTCCTCACCAAAATAGAAAAAGTTTTTATCCTTCATCTTTCCATTATTGGATAATATGTGAATACCCTGATAGTATAATTTATTACATGAAGTTCTAAACTCCTGCCATTTCTATTCCAGAGATTTTAGTATGGAAATGTTCAGTCTCACCAAAGATTTTTTTAATATACTATGGCAATTACAGTAAAAAATGTAGAATTCTGAAACCGAATTTTACATTATCGCCTTTGGTCTTTTGCTGGTGAGCAAATTGGTAGAGATCTGTAACAAAAGTTGGAAAGAAAGTTCTCTTTAGCATAGGGATTCAAAGAGTGTGGAGTGGTTAGTTATCCAAGGATCCTTCTTTGGGAGCAATAGAATCTGGAGCTACTATTTACATAGAAAGAGACTGAAGTAGTATGTGGAAAGTGGAAAAAGAAAAATTAAGATACAGAATATGGAGATTGCCACATTGTCTGTATCAAGTTGAAGTATGAAGCAGTTGGGAAGATTGCTTCTTTGGAAGCTTAGCTTGGGCAGACGAAGGAGGGCTCAGACGATCTAACTTTACCTCTGCCAGTCCCTTCTTATTTGGGAGTGAGGAAGAGACACAAACCAGTTAACTAGGTACAGTCAGACATGAAGTGTGTCTCGTGAATAAGCCACTGATCCGCTGCACAGGCAATGTGGCTCTAATCTCCAGTGATTACTACTTGAGAACCAGGTGGCTAAAAGGACATTATTTAGGAACCATAATTGGAATTACTTTTAACCCATACATATAGGATCCAAATTGAAAACAAACTTATATACAGAAGCTAGTATAGCATAGTCCTCATAACTTTGCCATCTGAGGCCTAGATTTTGCTGTGAACACCTACAAATGCTTTCACAGCCACACCTTTATTTAAATTACTCCCTGAGAAGTAATCAAGCATTGCCTTGGGAAGTTTCTGTAACTAAATATAACAAAATTACTAAAGTTTGATTCAGGCCTTGCAGGCTTTTATACTGGTAGCTAAGTGTTACTGTATGTATGAAAATATATGGCCTAAAAAAAGAGAGTTAATTAAATATTTATAAATATAAGGCTTCTGAGCTCCGATTTTTTAACTTTACCTTATACTTCTCTAAATCATAAATGAGGCAGCACTATCTAATCATTTAGCTACTTCTAAAGAAAATAAAGACTATAATCTCTTTATGATGATTGTGATCCTTTTACCCCCTTCTCCACATGCTTGTGAATTTTAGTGTATGTGAGATTGGTATATATACCACACCTTGGGGTAATTTTGAGGTGGTCATTTAGAACTTCTAGTACAATATTAAAATTTCGATTGTTTTGGTAACTGGTCTTATTCTAGAGATAAACAGAATCTATTGATTTTTCTTCTTAAGTTCATGAAGCTAGGTTTTAGAGCATGAAAACGAGAATGAAGCAGCAAGACCTATAATACATTTAATGGGAAAATTCTGAAAGAAGGTGTTTAAGATCTTTAGCAGTGCATAGAGATAATTTTGAATGATCACCTAACAAGTCTAGCAAGCAGAGTTTAATAATAATCAGGGGAAAGTTCCTCTGTGCCAATGTCCTCATTACTGAAGATTATACGTATACTCACAGTATTCATTACTTACCACATAAATGAGTAATTAGGAGTGCAATATTTCCCTGGTAATTTTGCTTTTAGTGAATATAGCTAAAAAGGTGGGGGGAGAAAAACTTGATATGAAATAATGGTTTTATATTAAAATTCTGCAAAACCTAGGAAATACATCCTACTTCTTATTTTTTGGGTACACATAAAACCTTAAATTATAGCTTCATGTATATTTTGTAACTTAGTTTCAGTCCTTTTCAGAAGGCCTTAAGATATCTGAATCTGTTGCTGGGTGGAAAAGGTAATCAGAATCTCAAAGAATGGTTCAAGAGCCCAGGCTGACAAGTTGTTAAACTGTAGGGGGGAAAAAGGAGCAATCAGCGATTAGGTTTACAGACTGGCACTGAGGATTGTGCGATACAATCTAGGTGAGAGTAGAGCAGCCAGAACAGAGTACAGCAATCTGAACAGGGTTGATAAGGCACGGAACAGCAAGGCAGAAATGAGTTTGTTGAGAAACAACAGGTTTTGCTGCATCAGGGTCAGTTGACAGCAGATGCTAGATTTGAGACTGTTTAGAAGAGCATTACTGAATAAAGCAAAAGATCTTCAGCAGAATGAGGTGGCTGGGAGACCATGTGCTCAGTTCAGATAATTTATCGGCCAGCTTCCTGTACTGCTTTTTCTTTTTCTGATTAGGCATTGTTCTGACACATACTAATTTGAGTTTTTCAGCCCTGTGTCCATATTTCCTTTTTTTTTTTTTTTTTGCAAGTACTTAATATATTTTGGGAGTAGATGGATGGTTGGGATATTGTCTGCTTCTAAGCAGCTCTGACCCTCTGTACTTCAGCTTTCTCATCAGAATAACATAGAGGTAATGATCCCGTCCTCATAGATAAGAGTTCTTTTTGAGAGTTGGATTAGGTAACACGCTAGTTGCTCTTGGAGCCTGTTGCTTACTTAGTACTTGGTCAGAAAGTGTTAGCTGTCCACTTCATCACTGGTTTGGGCTCTTGTTTCCCACCTGGTGCTTTGATTCACTCTCCTCACCTCTTTGTTGTGGCAATTCACGCTATACTGCCTGCAGCCCGGAGAGTCATCTTCACTGCAAAGAGAAGGTTCAGGTACATTTCCTCTATCGGGAGGTTCACAGCATGCATAAGATAAGCCTCTCCAGTCTCAGCTCAGGACTCCTAGTTTTTGCACACTTGATGTCACTTTCTTTCCTTTCCTTTGTTGCCTTAGTTCCAGATCTTTCTCTTCAGTCTCTGAAATACAGATTGCTTAATCCTTCCTCTTGTCATGTCTTTGTTAAAAATCCTCTTCTACCTCTGTGTGTGTTCATCAAGCAACCTAAAACCTACTCAAAGTTTCATATCCTTATTAATTTTAATATCTTAGACCATTTCTGAATTCTTTTTAAACTTACCTTGATAGTTATGAAGCATTAAATAGTCTTGTTTGTAGAAACATTGACCGATGAGGTTGAGAGGTGCATGGGGGGTAGGATTATGTCATAGTTCATGTTTTAGTTTCAGAATGCTCTCGTAACAGAATTAACACAAATGGGTAGCTTTATTCAAGAGAGCTTTAGACTCAAAGTCCAAATCAGGAGCTTAGCCTTGTCAGATCTTCCTTTCTTGGGAACGCTGGGCATTCCCTGGTTCCTTCACATCCCCTGGTTTATAAAGGCAGTCGACAAATCTGCCTTCCTGGGCTGTGTGTGTATATGTATTTGGGCTTTTTATAGAGCAGAAGTGACTATGTTTAGGTCCCACCCTGTAGTTACATGACCTCATTAACAAAAGGAAACCACTTACATTGTAATACAAGGAAAGCATCCACGTTTTTGAGAGACACAGTTTAGTCTGTAACACCTCATAGAAGCTAAGCAAATGCTAAGCATGTACATAATCCACTACTGTTCAGTCTATTCCAACTCAAACTCTTCTCCACCCGGGTCTTCCTCTTTTTTGCTGACCTTTCCAAACATGATGTTCTTTACTAAAGAGTTGCCTCTCCTAACAGTATGCCCAAAGTATGTGAGAGAAAGCTTCACCATTCTTGCCTCTAAGAAACACAGGACTGGGCTTTTAATGTATAATTTTTTCCCCCCTAAGATTTTTCATTTTTATGCTATATGTAAGAGAGTTGGTTTTTTTCCTATCAACTTAATCAGTTTTAGGAAATAAACCTAATTAATTATCTGTGTAGATTTTGGGACATCTGATGGTATAGACCAAAGAGAGTTAGTACTGCTAACCCAAACTCTGCCTCTTTGGTGGTTCAAAGCCACGTGTGGCTCCTCAGGAGAAAGATGGGCAGTCTTCTGCTGTTAAAAACCACCCTATCATTGGGAACTTGAAATGTCACAGGTTAGAATAACACATTTGGATGGTGTGACCACATAGTGGCATGTTCACCTTTCTTTACCTTGGTATTTACAGATTAAAATCTGATGGGAAAGGTTAATTTTCTGTAAACTCTGTAAATTTCTTTGTTATCTTGCATAAATAATCCAAAATTATCTCTTCTGTGAAGACCTGGAAAATTAAAATCTGCCTTTCAGAAGTTATTAATGAATTTTCTCCCTAAAATTTATTTTAGGAGTTTTGATAAGCCTTCAGTATCTTACTCATATTTTGATCATGTATCCATCAGGTGGTTTTAAGTATATTTTTTATTCTAGATTTTTCTTCATTATATTTCTTGTTTCAAAAAACATTAGCTTTTAAAAACTTTCCCCCTAGTTCTTCAGATATCAATACAGCATAGAGAGTAATTATTTATTTTGTCATTCTAGGTATTTATCAAAGTAATTGACACAAATGACCATCGTCCTCAGTTTTCTTCATCCAAATATGAGGTAGTTATTCCTGAAGATACAGTGCCAGAAACAGAAATTTTACAAATCAGTGCTGTGGATAAAGATGAGAAAAACAAACTAATCTACACTCTGCAAAGCAGTACTGATCCCTTGAGTCTCAAGAAATTTCGTCTGGATCCTGCCACTGGCTCTCTGTACACCTCTGAAAAGCTGGATCATGAAGCCATTCACCAGCATGTTCTTACAGTAATGGTGAGCTGTGCTTATTCTTCTGCTGCCATATTAGTGATTCCTACTCAGTTTTGTCTTTTTGGGGCTAATTTTTAATCAGTTACAAGGAAAAACTGCAAGAAGATCGATTGATGCATCATTTCTTCCAGGTCCGGGATCAAGATGTTCCTGTAAAGCGCAACTATGCAAGGATTGTGGTTAACATCAGTGATGCAAATGACCATGCCCCGTGGTTCACTAGTTCCTCCTATGAAGGACGCGTTTATGAATCGGCAGCTGTTGGCTCAGTTGTGTTGCAGGTGACGGCGCTTGACAAGGACAAAGGGAAAAATGCTGAAGTCCTGTACTCTATTGAATCAGGTATTTCTGGGGCACTCAGCTGTTTCTTTGAACTTGATTTTAAGTATTAAGGGATTTCTGTGTATCATTGCAGAAATTACTAAAATTGTTCTTTAGTGTTAAGAAAAAAATATATTCCCCCTTGCCCCCGCCTTTAATTGTAACTCATTAGAAAGTAAAGGCAGATTGTCTTCATTCTGAATAAATTTCTTGAGGATTCATAATATTAGCAACATACAAAGCTTTGAGACCATGTAATATATCCAGAATTGTTGAAATCACATGGTCAGAATATCTGTCAACCAGGAACACAGGCGTAGTCCTTTGACATTTTATCTTTAGAGTATTTTGTCACAGGAAATTCTGTGACAAAGTTCAGAATCACTGATCTAAGCTGCTTTGTGAAAGAAAATTGTTATGCACCTATAATTCCCTTCTAGATGATGCTTTTCCATCGCTTTGCCTCCCATATGCCTTTAACAGTTAAACTTCATTTATGACATTTAATTGTGGCAGCAGTCACCAGATGGCTTGGAATGGGACTAGAAGGAATGGTGCTGAGACTGAGCTGTGTGCTGGGTTGTGCCCAAGGCATCATGAATAGGACACAGCCACTAGACCATTGGCCGGGACAAGTTCTAGGTACAGTAGGGCAAGATGTGCAGAGTCCTCCCCAGCAGGAGAAAGAAGGGTCACCAGTAAGCACTGATTCAGAGATAAAATTTTTATTCACTTTCAGCGTATGCTCTCACTCATTGCATAAACTACGGTTATTTATGCGCTTCTCTGTGCCAAGAACCTTCATACACGGGCTGGATAGGAATTACTGTGGGTCCACAACCCTGTGTTCTTGCAAAAAAATCTTGCCCAATTACAACAGGCATCTGATTTAGAGCATACGATTTATATAGTCAGAAATCACCTTGCTTTGGGACTTTGCCTACTCATGCCAAGTGTAGGGAGTATGAGATTAAATATTGAAAAGGCAGCTTTCCCATTTCCATCTTCCTCAGTGCCCTTGTTAGTGTAAGGAATACAGGGTCTTCATGATTTTCTCATGGATTTGAAGTACTGAGATCGTTCATATTACCTGACTTTTTACGGAGCATGTATCTTACATATTTAGAAATTCTCTTTCCCAGGAATAAATTCCCTTTAGATCACTTAAAATCTGAATAAAAAGGGAATACTTTTTCTTTTAAAAAAGCCTCAACAATGCTTTCCAAACATTTTTATGTGATTAACTATTTGTATTTTTAATATATTTGAAGTTTTCATTTGTTTACCTGAAAACAACCCTGTTGCCTTCATTACCCACAAATAAGATCTTAAACGAACTGCCTGTGATCACAGTGTTGAAATGAGTTATAATATGGTTAGTGCCTGGAATAAAGATGCTTTTTTCGCTGGTTTGGGAATTCAGCAGTTAGAAAAACAGTACATTCCATTTTTGCATGCCTAAGCACTTCAGTAAAATCATTTGCTCACAGCAAACCGACTGGTTTGTGTAGGAGTAAATGTTAAACTTTCCCTTAGCTTTCACATAATTTTCAACAACTGGGTGGTTAAAATATGATTGTTGGAGCTTGACTAAAGGCATGTGCATTCCCTGAATTCTTGTAATGACTGATGGGATTAGTAATTTGATATTTCAAGAATGGTACTATGTCTTCATCTCAAAGAATAGCCAATACCTAGAGCTTGAGTCTATATAGAATTTGGACTTGCAAGAAGATCTTTTTGTTATCTGTTTGTCGTATTAAACTGATGCTAAGTAATTACTTTATAGGGACTTTCTATCCTTGAAGTGTAATACACTTGTGTGTTTGTGTGTGTGTAACTTGGAATAATGCAAACTATAAAATGATCACATTGCTTTCTGTTAGAGGTTCATGCATAAGCACCTGCTTTTAATTTGTGTTGGGTAATTTGTATTGGGTTGCATTTAATAAAGTCAAAAGACTAATTATAAATTCAAGCCATAATATTTCATCTTTAATTTGCAACAATTTATGAGCAAAGGTTTGGTCTGATTAGAACTCTTTAGGGAAAAAAATTAATTAAAGGATATTTTTAATAACAATTGAGTTATACACTGGAGACACATCAGTGCTGTACTCTATACTGTTTTCTTCTCTTTATTTCTTTTCTTAACATAGATTATGAGAACACTGTTCACAGCTATTTAAATGCCTAGAAGTAGAAAAACAAAACCCAGAGAATATATTCATTTTAATTGGTTTCTTCTCCCAAATTTAGACTAAGTATAATTATTGTAATTTAATTTTTACAGAAATTGCTATGCTACTGACCATTCAGCAGACTCTTATTGAGAGAAACAAACTCTATACATGACTCCTTTAAGGAGTGCACTGTGTATAATATAGCCATAGCTAATGAACTGAGTTAGCTCGTTTGCACAGATAATCACCCCTTTTCAAACATAGAGAGCACTTTAAGACTTTAGAAATCTCTCATCGTTTTACCCAAGGAACCCTGGAGATATATTTTGTTGCATTTCACACTGCCTACAATAAAGTTCGTCAGTTTGAATCCACCAACTGCTCTGTGGGACAAGAAGGGAGAATCTCCTTTTGTAAAAATTTGCAACCCCCAAAACCCAATGAAATGTTTGCTATGTGGCAAAATTTACCAGTTTGGCCATGGGAAATAACTTCCTAATGTGAATGACCAAGTAGTAACTGCTTTATTTCATTCAGATACCATACGTGTATTGCAATATTTGTTAAATGCACTTCTAATTATCAGATTAGTCAGGGACATGTTTATACCAGTCACTAGTATTCGGTGGTTTTCTGTATGTTTGTGATGTTGCTTTTCTGTTTGTAAATTTGATACAAAATTTCTACCATGTGTGTCACACTCATAATTCTGCAATTCTGTGTGTGTAATCTCAGTGTCAAAGCTACATAATTTCCTGTTTCATGTTATTGCTGTCGGTGATAAGCTTAGAACTGTCGTTACTTAAATCAAGATACTACAATTGATAAAGAATGTGTCTGAATTTCACCTGGCCAGTGTAAAAATTTTTCAAGCTGAGATTCTCAATTAGATAGGACATTTCTTAATACTTTTAAATGAAGTATTTTATTTACTCTTAACAAATTTTTGTTGGTAATGCTAGAAGTATAAAGGAAATAATTTAAAAATAGAAGTAGAAATATAGTCCCTTCATAAATGTATTAATGTGGTCAATTTCTGGTCTTTAAGTGTACTCGTGGGCAAAAGCCATTTCTTTCAACAAGTATTTACTGCTGTTGGTATTCACCAGGAAGTTGGGACCAACTCATAGCTTGACCCTCCAGTGTGTTTTCAAAGGTAGTAAATGGCACAGAAGGAGATTGCCGTCTTTCTTCTACAGAGCAGCTGGTGGATTTGAACTTTGGTTTGGCAGCTGACTCTTTTCCACCAGAGTGTTCTGTGACATAGTAATTTTTTAAAATGTTGGTGATGTAGTAGCAAACAAAGCAGACCATGCTTGAGTGGAGTTTTCCTAGTGAGAGAATAATAGCAAATTGAAAATGACGATAGAATGTAGCGTGTTGTGATACATACTGCAAAGAAAAAGCAGGATAAGGGCCTAGGAATAGTAGTCATGCTGAGTAGGGAAGGAAGGTCTTGCAAAACAGGACATTCTAGGAAAGCTGGAATGAATGAACGAGAGTGGGAAGGTGATGAAATAGCTGAGAATGACTTCAGGAGAAGACATGCTAAGTGCAGTGGCCCTGAGATGAGATCTATGTACCTGTTTGAGGAAAGTTCAAGGAGTGAGGATAAAGACAGGTGTGCAAAGTCGATTGCGATTTTCTCTGGAAGACCAGATGATCATTCACAGTTTTAGGTAGTGGAAGGATATAGAGATAGAATGAGAAAAGGACCTTGGAGTTCTGATGGCTGCTTGAAATGCTGTGAGTGAGAATCTAGGACTTTGATTCTGTAAATACAGACAGAACTGATATTAGTGTCTGAGAGGCCTGGTGGAAGCAGCAGGACTGCATCCTCAGGCCAGATTCAGCTCAGAGCTTGAGGCCTGAGGAAGTTGGCCTTCTACCCTGTTGCACATGGAGATAGTATCTTGAGGCTTGGTTGTAGAGCCATACATATTTAATAAAAACTAGACTGGTTGAGAGCTAAGAAAAAGTTGCCATAGATTTTTGGAAACTGTATTAAAGAAAGGAAATGAGTACTGCAGAGGAAGTGTTTAGTATTAATGATTTGGAGACAAATGAGCACATTATACTAAATACGTCTTTCTATGCAAATAATGTGCCTGCTTTACCTTCCCCCTCAACTCACACAGCTAATCCCCCTTTCTGTGTTGTTTACCTTTGTATCATGCATATTATATTATGTGGGTGAGTTATTAAGAAAAATTCTGGTCCATGAAATGCAGATTGAAAACATAGATGAAATTTGAGAAGTTAAGTGACAAGTTAACTTTGGACAATAAATCATTTTGGGAAAATAGATATCAGCTTTTTGATTGGGGTAATGAGTTCTAGGCTCTTTTTTATGACCTGGAAAAGGGAAGAAGCTTTTACATTGATAGATCAAGCCAGGGCCCTTATTGCTGTGATCTATCCAGAAAGGTCCTGGTAAATTGAATTTTCAAATAACAGATTTTTTATCAACGGAACAAAGATGCAATAATCATGGAGTTGTGGTTGCAGCTCAGTATATATGATGCATTTAGAAAAGGCTCAAAGAAGTCAACTATCTTAAGCAGAGTTGTTCATCCTTAGTTCCTGTTGGCATTTTCAACCAGATAGTTACAGGAACTGAACTTTGCTTTTGGGAAGTTTAACATCATCTCTGGTGTCTTCTCTAAAGGTTCCTGTAGCACCCTTCCTCCCATGTGACTATAAAAATATCCACAGATATTACCAGATATTCCCACTCCTTTCAGAATCATCATCTTTCAGAACCTTAAACCCGTCTGGGAAAGATTAAGAAAGGAATATTATTCAGATTTTCAGACCATAAAAAGTGGAATTGTTGGTTGCTGTTGAGTCGAACATGACTCATGGCAACCCTATGAACAAAAGACCTGAAGCCTTTCTATAACTATCGTCCTTTATCAAAGTTCATTGAGTTTCCAGAGGCATGTTGTTTAGGAAGTGGATGCCACTCCTGCTTCCAACAAAAGTGGAATAGGTTGCAACAATTAATTTATCAAATAGCTACCTACTTAAAACCAACCGTCTTAAAATTTTATGCAAATTTCTTTTGGTGGAATAAAATCTTTTAGAAATTGAATTGCATCTTCCCCATATATTTGTTGTCAACCCTTGACCTTATTCCAGCTTAACATTTGGGAATGGATGTTCTTTATTAGCTGAAGAGACTTTTATCAATTTTAGTTGTCACTTAAGCCAATCACCTTTGCAATATAGTGGGGTACAAAAGATCTGATTAGGCATATAAAAGCTAGCAGAGATGAGGGAATAGAGATTCCAAACCAGTCAACCATTAACCGAAGCTCAGAAGAGACCAGGACCCTCCTCCAGTACCAACAGAGTGAGAAAGCCTTTCCCTGGAGGCAGCACTCTGTGAGCTCAGACTTGCAGTCTCTTATTGAGAAAATACATTTCTCTGTGTTGAAGTCACCCACTTGTCATATTTGTTATAACGGCACAAAATAACTACGATAATTTTCCTAATAAAAATCTTGAGAATATACTGAAAATATAAGCCCTTTCTAAGAAGGAGTTTTGGTAATAAGTAAATAACTTTGAGTAGTTTTTTATAATGAGTAACAATCTTTTTCATAATAAGTAAGAATCTTGAAAGCATGCTAGAGATGTTGTTGTTGTTGTTATGTGCCGTCGAGTCGTTTGTGACTCATAGTGACCCTTTGTACAACAGCCCTAAACCCTGCTTTATCCTGTGCCAGTCACATTGCCTCTGACACACCCATCCCGATTGCCCCAGTCAGTGAATCAATCCACCTAATAGAAGGTCTTCCTCTCCTGAGCTGTCCCTCCACCCTACCAAGCATGATGTCTCTCTCCAAGGACCTGTCTCTCCTTACAACATGTCCAAAGTAAGTCAGACGAAGCCCCAGAATCTTTGCCTCCAAGGAGTAGCGTGGTTTAATCCTCTCCAGGATGAATCTGTTTTCTTGTCAGTCCATTGTACATTCAATACTCTTCTCCAGCACCACAGCTCAAAGGCATCAATTCTCCTTCTATCCTCTCTAGTCATTGTCCAACTCTCTGATGCCTAACAAGTGATTGCAAAGACCATGGCCTGTATCAGGCACACCTTAGTCTCCAGAGAGATACCATTGCTCTTGAGTACTTTAGAGAGGTCCCTAACAGCAGACTTTCCCATCACAATACGTTTTTTGATTTCCTGGCTGCTGGTGCCAAGAGTATTGACCGTGGAGCCGAGCAAACTGGAAGAATTTTTCTTGGACAGTTGGAAAATAAATTACTAACTAAATATCTCTTTCTGCCACACATTTCTGGTTCAGTTAATAAAGAGAAAATTTCAGTTCTAGACAGTGTTATTACTTTTGTTTCTTATTGTTCATAATTTATAGGCAAGTCTTGGAAAATGTATACCTTGTTTTAGGTGGATAAAATGAAACAAGGTGAAGATTACTTTCAAATGTTGAGAGCTCTAATTTTCTGTTTAATTTCTGAATATACGCTTTTAAAAGGCAATTTTTTTCATAACTTTGTGTCTGCTTCTGCAACTATTTGTATTTTCTCTTAATTTCACTCCTCCTCTCTTTCTTTCAGGGAATATTGGAAATTCTTTTACAATCGATCCCATCTTGGGCTCTATAAAAACTGCCAAAGAATTAGATCGAAGCAACCAAGTGGAATATGATTTAATGGTGAAAGCTACTGATAAAGGAAATCCACCAATGAGTGAAATAACATCTGTGCACATCTCTGTCACCATTGCCGACAATGCCTCTCCCAAGTTTACATCTAAAGAATATTCTGTGGAAATTAGTGAAACTATCAGCATTGGGAGTTTTGTAGTAATGGTTATGTCTCATAGTCAGTCATCAGTGCTGTATGAAATAAAAGATGGGAATATTGGTGATGCTTTTGACATTAATCCACACTCTGGAAGTATCATCACTCAAAAAAGCTTGGATTTTGAAACACTGCCAATTTACACATTGGTAATACAAGGAACTAACATGGCTGGCTTGTCTACCAACACAACAGTTGTAGTTCATCTCCAGGATGAAAATGACAACATGCCAGTTTTTATGCAGGCAGAATATACAGGACTCATTAGTGAATCGGCTGCAATTAACAGTGTGGTCCTAACAGACAGCAATGTCCCATTAGTGATTCGAGCAATGGATGCTGATAGAGAATCAAATGCTTTGCTTGTTTATCGCATCGTTGAACCATCTGTACACAAGTATTTTGCCATTGATTCTAGCACTGGTGCTATTCATACAGTTTTAAGCTTAGACTATGAAGAAACAAGTGTTTTTCACTTCACTGTGCAAGTGCATGACATGGGCACACCACGTTTATTTGCTGACTATGCAGCCAATGTGACTATCCATGTAATTGACATCAATGACTGCCCTCCTGTGTTCTCCAAATCATTATACGAAGCATCACTTTTGTTGCCAACATATAAAGGAGTAAAAGTCATCACAGTAAATGCCACAGATGCTGATTCAAGGGCATTCTCTCAGTTAATGTACTCTATCACTGAAGGCAACATTGGGGAGAAGTTTTGTATGGACTACAAGACCGGTACTATAACTGTACAAAATACAACTCAGTTAAGAAGCCGTTATGAGTTAACCATTAGAGCTTCTGATGGCAGATTTGCAAGTTTTACTTCTGTGAAAATTAATGTGAAAGAAAGTAGAGAAAGTCAGTTAAAGTTTACCCAAGATTCATACTCTGCAGCAGTGAAGGAGAATTCCACTGAAGTTAAAACACTAGCTGTCATTACTGCCATTGGGAATCCAATCAATGAACCTTTGTTTTATCATATCCTCAACCCAGATCGAAGATTTAAAATAAGCCACACTTCAGGAGTACTTTCTACCACTGGCATCCCATTTGATCGTGAACAGCAGGAGGCATTTGACGTGGTAGTTGAAGTTACAGAAGAACATAAACCATCAGTAGTTGCTCATGTTGTTGTGAAGGTCACCATAGAAGATCAAAATGATAATGCACCAGTGTTTGTCAACCTTCCTTACTATGCTGTGGTTAAAGTGGACACCGAGGTGGGGCATGTCATTCGCCATGTTACTGCAGTGGACAGAGACAGTGGCCGCAATGGGGATGTGCATTACTACCTTAAGGAACACCATGAACATTTTCAAATTGGACCCTCTGGTGAAATATCACTGAAAAAGCCATTTGAACCAGACACCTTAAATAAGGAGTATCTTGTCACAGTGATTGCAAAAGATGGTGGAAACCCACCTTTTTCGGCTGAAGTTATAGTTCCAATCACTGTTATGAATAAAGCCATGCCTGTGTTTGAAAAGCCTTTCTACAGTGCAGAAATTCCTGAGAATGTCCAGATGCACAGTCCCGTTGTCCACGTACAAGCTAACAGTCCAGAAGGTCTGAAAGTATTCTATAGCATCACAGATGGAGATCCTTTTAGCCAGTTCAATATTAACTTCAATACAGGGGTTATAAATGTAATAGCACCTTTAGACTTTGAGGCCCACCCGGCCTATAAATTGTGCATAAGAGCAACTGACTCGTTGACTGATGCTCACGCTGAGGTATTTGTAGACATTGTGGTGGAAGACATCAATGATAACCCCCCTGTGTTCACTCAACCCTCGTATGCTGCAACATTGTCTGAGGCTTCTGTAATTGGAACATCTGTCGTTCAAGTTAGAGCAACAGATTCTGACTCAGAACCAAATAGAGGAATTTCATACCAGATGTTTGGAAATCATAGCAAGAGTCATGATCATTTTCACATAGATAGCAACACTGGCCTCATTTCATTAGTCAGGACTTTGGATTATGAACAGTTGCAGCAGCACAAGATTTTTGTAAGGGCCATTGACGGTGGCATGCCCCCTCTGAGCAGTGACGTCATTGTGACAGTGGATGTCACTGACCTCAATGATAATCCACCACTGTTTGACCAGCACGTTTATGAAGCCAAAATCAGTGAGCACGCAGCTCATGGCCATTTTGTGACTTGTGTAAAAGCCCATGATGCAGACAGTTCAGACATAGATAAGTTGGAATACTCCATTCTGTCTGGCAATGATCATAAGAACTTTGTCATTGACAGTGAAACCGGCATTATCACGCTCTCTAACCTGCGCAGGCATGCCTTGAAGCCATTTTACCATCTTAACATCTCTGTTTCTGATGGAGTTTTCAGGAGTTCAGCTCAGGTTCAGGTAACAGTAATTGGAGGCAATTTGCACAGTCCTGTTTTCCTTCAGAACGAATACGAGGTTGAGCTGGCTGAGAATGCTCCCGTACACACCTTAGTGACAGCAGTTAAAGCAACTGATGAAGATGCTGGCATTTACGGCCACATCACCTACCATATCGTAAATGACTTTGCTAAAGACAGATTTTACACAAATGAGAGAGGACAGATCTTTACTTTGGAAAAACTTGATCGGGAAACTCCAGCAGAGAAAGTAATCCCCATTCGCTTAATGGCTAAGGATGCTGGAGGAAAAGTTGCTTTCTGCACCGTTAATGTCATTCTTACAGATGACAATGATAATGCACCCCAATTTCGAGCAACCAAGTATGAAGTGAACATCGGATCCGATGCTCCCAAAGGGACATCAGTTATTAAGGTTCTTGCAAGTGATGCTGATGAGGGATCCAATGCCGATGTCTCCTACACTATTGAAGCAGATTCAGAGAGTGTTAAGGAGAATTTGGAAATTAACAAACTGTCTGGCATAATTACCACAAAGGAAAGCTTAATTGGCTTAGAAAATGAATTCTTCACTTTCTTTGTGAGAGCTGTGGATAATGGAACTCCGCCAAAAGAATCCGTTGTTCCTGTTTATATTAAAATACTTCCACCAGAAATGCGGCTTCCAAAGTTTTCAGAACCATTTTATACCTATACTGTTTCCGAAGACATTCCTATTGGAACAGAACTTGATCTCATCCGAGTAGAACATAGTGGGAGTGTTGTTTACAGTCTAATCAAAGGGAATACTCCAGAAAGTAATCGAGATGAGTTCTTTGTGATTGACAGACAAAGTGGGCGACTGAAACTGGAGAAGAGTCTTGATCATGAGACAACAAAGTGGTATCAGTTTTCTGTACTGGCTCGGTGCACTCAGGGTGATTATGAGGTAGTGGCATCTGTAGATGTTAGTATCCAGGTGAAAGATGCAAATGATAACAGTCCGGTCCTGGAATCTAACCCATATGAGGCATTTATTGTTGAAAACCTGCCAGGAGGAAGTAGAGTCATCCAGACCAGGGCATCTGACGTGGACTCAGGAACCAATGGCCAAATTATGTACAGTCTAGATCAGACACAAAGTGTAGAAGTCATCGAATCCTTTGCCATTAACATGGAAACAGGCTGGATTACAACTCTGAAGGAACTTGACCATGAAAAAAGGAACAATTACCAGATTAAAGTAATTGCCTCAGATCATGGGGAAAAAGTTCAGCTGTCCTCCACAGCCATTGTGGATGTCACTGTAACTGATGTCAATGACAGCCCGCCACGATTCACAGCAGAGATTTACAAAGGGACTGTGAGTGAAGATGACCCCCCAGGTGGTGTAATCGCCATCTTAAGTACCACGGATGCTGATTCTGAAGAGATTAACAGACAAGTTACATACTATATCACAGGTAAAAGTGCAAAGATTATTTTATGGAAAATTCATTGTTGGAAATAGAAAGTCTAGAAAATATTTCATGGAACTTGGGAAATAAGGGGTCATGGAACTTGGGAAATAAGGGGCTGATTTTAGTTAAATGTCCTCAAAATAAGTAACATTTGTTGAGATAATATTTCAGGATCTTAAAGTGTTATTTCCTTGCACTGTTTTTTACTTTCTATTAGATTTATCCTTGTTATAAAGCAAGTATATTTTAATTAAAAAGAAAAACCCATTTTCTTATCAATTACATTATTATCATTCAGTCGCTTTTATATTTTTACTTAAAAACACATTATGCTATAGTTAAATGTAATTTTTTTAAAAAGTGTTTTCTTTTTAGAAACCAGTGCATTATTTATCTTTTGCATAGTTTATTTTTTAGAATACTTCTTTTTATCCTTGTTTAAACATCTTTTTCTAATTACTTAATAGGAGGGGATCCTTTGGGGCAGTTTGCTGTTGAAAATATACAGAATGAATGGAAGGTGTATGTGAAGAAACCACTGGATAGAGAGAAAAAGGATAATTATCTTCTGACCATCACAGCAACTGATGGAACCTTTTCATCAAAAGCCATAGTTGAAGTGAAAGTGCTGGATGCAAATGACAATGTTCCAGTGTGTGAAAAGGTAAGCTGTTCTTTTCTTAAATTTATATACTATGAATTGAACTTTTATTAAGACTTTGAGTAAGGCTCTCAGGCCATGTTTTAATGTAAGTCCACTGTGTTTTACATTATAATTTGTTACTTGCCTAAGTAAGTAGAGGTGAAGATTATCTGGGCACAAGTTGGAAAAAATTTCAGAATTACTTTTGGGATGCTCTGTAGCTCAAAAAGCTCTCATTCAGTAAAACTGTAAATTATGGATAAGTTTACAGTTGTGCCTAGTATAAAATGCTGTGTAAATGTCTCATCAAAAGAATTCCCTTCATTTGAGATTCAGGTACTTAGAAATGTGGCCAACATTTTAGTATGTAGATTTCTATTTTGCTTTAACAGGCCTTTTTGATGGCCTTAACTGTTGGACACTAATGTGATGGCCTGTGAACCTCCAGTGATAGTGGTTAGATGTCATTGAGTCAACTCCAACACATAATAATTCTTTGTACAATGTATCAATGTCTGTAAGAAGATAATGGTAGCACAAGGAAAGGTGGGCTGAGGATTTGGAGAAGGCTCCACATTCGGTACACATGAGATGTAGCTTGGAAATGAATAGAAATGTGTATCAGCAGAGCCTTAAAATTCCCTTGTGAACTTGAAGAAGGTAATAAATGTCACTGAGTTGTACATGTAAAAATTGATGAGATGGTTATCATTGTTATGTGTATTTAAACCAAACTAAAAAAACAAACAAAACAAACCCTAGCCATGAGGGAAAGTGGGATTTCTGAGGAAGAGATTAATCCCATTCATCTTTGTACTGTTGATTTCTCTCCACACACATGCGTAACGTATATATGTATGATTTGTTAAATGTGATGTACTTGTATGTATGTGTTATGTAACAAAAACAACAGCTAAGCAAAACACATCCTAACTTTTTAAGAAGTCTGAACTTCTATATAATTGGACATTCCCTCTTTCTTAAGCATTAAAAGAATAAATTCACTTTTAAACATATAATTAAAAGTTAAGTATAAGGGGAATGGTTTAAAAAAAAACGCAAAACTATTGCTTATTCATCATTTACATTTTACAGTACTGAAAGCATCAGTACAATATCGCATGTGCTGTAAAATATAATTCACCTATACATTCATGAAGAAAATAAATTCAAACATACCTGTTTCTTGCTTGTCCTTGCTTATCTGCGGTGGCTGCGGCCCTCAAGCCTCACTTCCGCCCAAGACCACGCTTGTCAGAGCTTCCAAGGGCTTGCTCCCGCCGGAA